TTAAGATTAACAAAGACTATAATATTTTGTCACAACGTAATCATACTTTCTATACAAGTACTATTCCAGTTTATATAAATTAGAATAAATTAGTTTATAATGTACTTTACAAAATATTTTGTAATAACGATAATAACGACCGGAATACAGTGATTACATCATAATTATACTTTCTCACCTAAGTTACACGAGTTCAAAGTATAATTATAATTATTAAGACAATATATGCTCAGCATACATGTACATTAAACAGTCTCGTTTGAAATTACGCTATAAATTATACAAGAGTTTAAATTATAACCTGCTTGTTTAAATATTCTTTGCTAGATACACCAAGGTACTACCAATGTGATACTAAAATTGATGGCGAAAATGGATTCCCTATTTGCACAGGATGTAAGGAACACACCGGCGCGTTTCGTCGACGAAATTAGGGACGCTCGGCATACTGTACATAAATATTAATCTAACGCGGAAATTATCGAACAACCTGACTCACGAACACAGTGAAACGGCCACGAATATTACTGCCCATGCGCGTAATCCCTAGCATGAGTTAATGAAGCGGATAGTAGTTGAACATGTGAACGTATCCGCGGATACGTCACAACGACATTTGAAGTTGCTATCAAGTATAGTATTTGCGGCTCGCGGAGTCAATACAGGCTTCCTAAGTAATTGGTTAAACAGTCTCGGGAGCTGGTTAAGCTGCCACAGAAGCTGGTAAAGTTACCTGAGAAGCTCATTAAGCTGTCTAAAGAACTGGTTCAGCTGCCTCGAAATGCGCACAGTGGTATAGGTTTACCAAGCGAACTCGAAGCTTATGGGAGTACCTAAGAATTACTGGTGGGGAAAGAAAAGTGTTCATCGATGACCTTCAAGTGGCCTTCAATCATTTACACCGCGCCCTACACTACTATTACTCGATTACTATCATCAAACACGCGAAGAAACGGAAATCGGAAATCTATTGATTAATTATGCTGCCACTATTTATTCGATTTCGTTCATTTCTTAGCAATTATGTCTTAATTTTTTGTTAATTTTTTCTTAATTTTTTCTTAATATTTAGGTTACTAATAACCTACTATATAATTTTTCTGAGCGAAGTGAAATAATTAAATGAAACACCAATGCTTCTTTGCTGTCTAGCATGATTAAAGTATCATTATTAATTCAGTTTTGTAAATTGTTATATGTAAATTATAGATGTGCATTTGTAAATTATAGATGTGCACATCGACTTGTGCATTTGTTAAAGTATTTACCAAAATATCTTTCACCGAAAATAAAACAATTAAATGAGATACGAATCACTATTAATTCAGTCTTG